CCCATCAGAAATGATTGATCATAGGCTCCCTAAAACGTTTGGAGCAGCTCTTTAATGACATTTTAAATGTGGACTTTTTGTGGAGCATTTTCAATTTGACTTCAGAGTCAACAAAATACCAAAAATCTAAAATACATGTAGAAAAAAAGAGAAAAAATCAAATGTATGTCTCCTTTTTGCCAGTCTGACATTTAGTTTTCTTTCATAATCGAAGACGATTAGTTGAGAAAAATGTCTAATTAAAAGAAAACGCTTCTTTACAGCCTAAAAGGTACTAAAAACGTAACACATTGGGGGAGTTTTACATTTTCATAAATATAATTTCTTCTAACAGGGTTAAATGCTAAACAAATGTTCTCACAGTTTTTTTACATTTGYATTGAAAAGTATTGTGAAGCCACATGTATGTGGTCAGACCCAACTGAAATCGGTCATCTTTAGAATGAAATAACAAAAACAGTGTGTGTAAAATTCCTTCAGACAACCATTTATACAGGAATTCACTTGAGAAGTCTAGCATCATCTGCTGTTTGCTGTGTGAAAAACAGTGCAGCACATTTGTGCTGAATAATTTAGATATCTGTGGAAGAGGGGGATTAAATTGGATAAAGGGCTGAAGCTGGGAGGGATTTATGTCTAACAGATCTAACAGCTTTATTTATTGTTGGGACAGCAAATCTTTTTCACTATAAACACTAGTGATAATAATAATAATATTAATAAAACGTTATATATGTTGATGTCTGAATTGTAGCTCTTCCATTTGGATTCTTGACATCACAAGCTGTTTTATTTGTCACACCACATGGAACTGGAGAACTGTAACATAGTACTGTTTATTTTTCTTCTCTTTAATCTGACAATATGCACTCCCTATTTTAATTGTCATAAAGATCCTATGAAGCCTTTACAATATGTGGATAGTAATTTGAAAATAAAAGGCTAAACAAATCAACCCATTATCCAAAAATGATTAAATAATTAATGCATAAAATGATATATTTTTAATTATTATTATATTCTACTGTTCTATTGATGACAACTACTGCCTTATATTATTTGACAAAATCACATTGGTTAGCAGGTTCACGCAATGACAGGAAATACCCACAAGGTGGCRATCCAATTTAAATAAGCAACACAGAATGGCAGCTTCACAATGTTTGTTTGTTTGTTTGTTTATGAATCTGACCTCCATTTGCTAGAAAATGACTAATTTATAATGACCTCTACTCTGCTGCAGTGCAAGGTGAAAAATATTGTTAAAAATTACCAATCTACGTCTAAACAGACAAATAAATACATGTTTACATCCAACGATAAGTTTATCACCTCCACAAACACCAATTCCCCATTAGTTTGCTACTTTCATTTACAAGTAGTAATAACTGATGCATTTAAGATTACATCTTTATTCATTATTTATTCATTTACTGTTATTTAAATTGATTTTCCTGTACAAAATGTACCTGCAGCCTGATCATTGCACAAGTCATGTTTAGAATTTATATATTAGTGTACACAGCATGGTGGTTTATAGTGGGTGTTTCTGAGATTGCAGGTTATAGGCTTCAGGAAGGACATCATCCAGAATGAAAAAAACAAATTAAAATAAAAAATCAGCAAAGTCTGCTTGTTGAAGAAGAGTGGAGTTGCCAAAAGAAAAATAATTATATTAGGAAAATGTCTTACGTATAGTTTGAAGAATCTTTTCATGCATGGAATAGAAATTGTGTGCTAAATTTGCAGTTATTTTGGTTTTGTTCCATAAAGAGAAGGGGAAAATCTTGCAGTTGCATCCTATACTGTTACTTGTTTTGCTCATCGTTTTATGATGTGTGTTACTGACTTATTGGCCAGGTAGTCTTTGTAAAACACATCTTGATCTCATTTCCTTTTAATCTGGTTAAAAAAGACTCATAAACAATGAGAAAAGCTGTGAAATATGGCCACAAGATGGCAGTGTTCCCTTCTGAACCTTTTAATTCTTTTTTCTGCCCTTCTCTAATAATAATAATAATAATAATAATAATAATAATAATAATAATAATAATAATAATAATAATAATAATAATAATAACTGCTCGCTCATGTTTATTGGCTCAAATTTGTTTTTCTTTATACAAATGTGACATAAAAATACCAAGATACTAGAAAATCTCAAACCTAAACAGTTATCATAACACAAGTGACATTTTAAAAACCATCTCTTCGTAAATAAATAGTGAAAAAGGAAGAAAAACTGATATTTTTTCACATAAGGGTTGTTCAAAATGTCATTATTATCATAACTGATGTTTAAAATTCATGTTTGGTTTTATTGCTGGTTGATTTTATTGCGTCAGCACAGGTTATTTATTATATGACATAATGTGCACTGTAAATATTTTTATTGTAGTTTATTTTCAGTTTGATCAATGAGGCTGTTTTTAAACCAAATAAAGTTTGACTTGTTTTCATTTGAAGTTTACCTTATGAAATCCCTGAATTACATCTTCGATTTTATTGTGCTTAAAAAAAAAGTGTGTGTGACGCACACGCTGGTTGAACCCATCAGCCCCTCTCCTCCCGGGTGCTGCGGGTGATGCCTGATTGGACGGGGAGGAGGTCACGTGGTCGGTGAAGCCGTCGGTGATGCTGCACCATTGTTCCCTGTGAGCAGCCGGAAGAAGCGCTCCTTAAAGCCCCGCTGAACGCGACAGCTGCGCCGGGTGGACCGGTTTGTGTCAGGACTGCTCGGGAGCGACACCAGAACCGAGCTGTTTCCAGGTTTCACTCTGGTGGAGGATTTACTCAGAGGGAAACTGGATCATGATGTTTAAGTGGAGAAAAAACTGAAGTCCATTGAGTCCTGCGTGGTGCCTTAAGCTGGACACAGATGAGAATAAAGAAATGAATGGTAAGTCTGAGCAGGCCTGTTGGCACGCATGATTTAAAATGAAATAAGTAAAATAACATTCACATTTTTTGATTATTTCCTAAAATGTTTGACATCTTTGCAGTTGTTTGTTGTTGTTTTTTTGCTGCAGTTATTCTTAGCTGTCCATCAGCCAAACTCCACTGGACACATATTTAATATGCAACATCTGTTACAACTAATTGATCTGCAAATTCAAAGATTTATAGGAGCATTTATTGGGATTTGGTGCACTGGAGCAAAAATCTAAACAAAGAGCCTATTGGAGCATGAAGCAGTTCAGAGCTCTTTATAGTCTTGAAGGAATCAAGTCGGCAGGCTGCTGTACCTGAAATCAGGAAAAAGCTGCTGTGGTTTTATGCAGACCACAGTGAAAAGAGACACTGGTTTCAGACAGACCTGAGGAGAGGACCCTGGAGGATACCACCAGCTCCCTTTACTCCCTCTGTTCTAAAGGGAAGGGGGCCTGCAGAGAATACAGATAAAGTTCTGTCAATCATTCTGAGTCAGTGCTGAAAAAAAAAGGCAAAGTTTCTCAAACAAAGATAACACTACAGAATAACTGGGAGTGTTGAGTCAGCATTCATTTTATTGTGTTGTTGTTTCTGCACATTTCTTGCTGTCCAACTATTCTGCACAATTTGTGCTATTTTAGCCATAAATATATTAAATCTTCAACTAATCCAGGAGATTATGACCTTTGTCTTTTGTGACTTACTTTTCAAAATACTAACTTTGGTAACAAATACATTTTCCCTCTTAGCCAGTCTCCCTACTTTTAGTTTCTAGTTTGTATTTGCAACTGTCAGCAAGTGTTTTGGTCCTTTAAGCTTTTAGCTTAAAATACAAGCTTCAGCTTCTTCTGCAAAATTCAGCACTCAGCAATCCAGGCCGCGTCATTTTTACAGCTACTTGTTTGTCATGACATGTTTTGTTTCAAACTGTACCTGAAGCCAGGATTTGCATGATCTCTTACTCTTGCTGAAAGGGTTTACATCATTTGTTTTTGTTTTCTTTGTTCTTCCCAGAACAGAAGTGGGCCGTAGCAGTGTAACACATTGAGTTGAAGGTAAGAGCAGACCTTGCTTTAGCTGTTTGAGATGATGTTGTTGATGTGCAGAGCTCATTGACACATTGAATTTGTCGCTGGGACACGGACAGCATTCAGAGCCCATAGAACTGTTGTTAAGATGCTACAAACAGATAACAGAACATGGGTTTAACCAGTAAAAACAGCTGATGCAGCTGATATCACAGTGATGAAAAGAGAGTCTCTTTGTTGACTTTGCTGTGATAATTGTTTGATTTTTCATTTGTATTTCTTTATTATTTTTGCTTTATCAAAAAGTCACCACTTGATTGTTACTTTCAAAGAAATTCATGATGACCGTCACAAAATGGACATAAACCAATACAAAAATGGTTAGTTTTGCAGATATTAAGTTAAAATTTCACGTGGTACTAGTTCTGACCCGTCTACAACGCAGAACTTGCCAACATATTGCCATAAAGCTATTTTCAGAGTTTGACCAAAACAACTACAGCTTCGTCGTTTCCCATCATACGCTGATCTTAGGTTAAAACTCTGGCATAAACAGCCACAGGCAATATGTGTTCCTTCAAGGAATGATGGGCCTATAATTAAATCGAGCATCAGGTCAAAAAAAAAAAAAAGAAATACCAAACCTCAAAAGCTTCAAAGATCAGATTTTTCTTGTTGCTTCTTAAGTTTTTTTTGTGAACTTTAGAATTTACCGACTCATTAATATTCAACAGAACTGCCTTTTGCATTGTTCCTCTGCCAGCGTAAGGAGTGCAGCATGCAACCACACACGTATAAAAATGTCTCCGTATGTGTGTGTGTTTTAGGGGAGCGGGTTCTCTCCCCTCATGACTCTTTAGTTTCCCTTCTCAGTCCATCTGCTTCCTCAGCCTATCAGCGCCTAGTCCTCTACTGGGAGCAGAATTTAATTAGTGCACGAGGCACAGAGTTACAGGACACTGAAACATTAAGTAGATGTATTTACTTGTAAAAAAAAAAAAGAATCTGCTCAATTAAGCTGCAGGCTTTAGTGAAGAAGTGATTCAACCACGCCGGTGTTACATGTTTTAGCCCAGATGGCTCAAGCTTGATAACAGTAAATGTAGTCCATTAAAGATTCACWGGAATGGTGTCATGGCTTAGCAGCAGCGCTGTGCAGAGTCTCACATCGGGGGGCTAATGTGGGTGAGTCGTCAGCGCACAAAGGTTCACACGCATGGGTGATTTCATCTGGTTTCCTTCTGGGGAGGGATGGGGGGGAAACCAGAATTTAGGTTCTTAGCTTGACTTGGAGGTTCAGAGAGATGAAGCGTAAGGTTAAAGGTCAAACTTTAAGCTGTGCAGAGAATCGGGTGATTTTATTTTATTTTTTTAGTTTTGGAGATGACTTAATAATAATATTAATAAAAATTAAGCTTTTCTGTTGGCTTTCTTCTGTTTTTTAAACTTATTATATATGCTCAAACTTGCTAGTCAGTTGTAAATGTACGTCAAGTTATTACTTTCCCAGAGCTACAATAAAAACTGACTGCAAACAAGTTGAAGCAGCCTCATTGACCAGGTAGCTTTTTATTGTGTCATAAAAACATTTAAATGAGATAAGAACAAAATAATAATATTAACAGTCTCTTTTATTAATTCCACATCATTAAATGTCTTAGCTGATTTTAATTGACTCCTCTCTTTCCAAAGACTAAGCATAAATTGGCGCACTGATGAAGCCTACAGTCTGTAGGAGCTGAGGGTGAACTAATATCAACCTTTCAGATTACATGGGAGCTTTGTGAGTCTCTGCAGGGTTCGTGTTTCCAATTTAGAAGCTTTTGATGTGACTCTTTTTGTGTGTTTGGCTCCTTCCTGGCTGAGCTGTGCTGGGCTTTCACAGTTCAGGGTTGAGCTCTCTTGAGATGTTGCCATGACACCTATTTGGACTGTTTGGTCTGCGGCCAGTTAATCAAATGCCAAGAGAAAAAAAAAGACCACATTTTGCTTACTTAATGAATTTTGTTCATTACTTCATGGTAAACCATCACATAAAATCTTATAGGCACAGGTGACACATAAAAGATTAAGTCAATAAAGTGAAGTAATTTTGCTCTATAAAAACTAGTTTTATAGTATACTACTCAGTTATTTGTGAACATGTGCGTATACACGAAGCTGCCAACTGGAAAGAATGCTTTGTTGGTGGGAAAAAGAAAAAGTAACAGCTGAGAACAGCTGGGTCAGGATGTATGATCATATGACAGCATCAAAAAAATAATTTTTTCTTATAAAACATGAGTTTATTTATTCAGTCTCATGCTTACAGTTGTTTAAGAAAAAATCAGCTTGCTGAACCTTGAGCAGCACAAAAAAAGTGCAACAGCTAGCCGCTGCAGCCGCCGGTAAGTGCACTTTCAAAAAACCAAATAACTGTAAATATCCAAGCAATGTAAAAATCAATATTAGTGTGAAGGTTTGCAAACCTTTACATTTTTTTTAAATTAGATTTTTTTTTAAGACGGCACTGATGCATTTCTGTTTGGCTATGCTCAGCTATGCATAAGTCTGGTCAAACAGAAAAATGGAGCGATTTCTCCAAATCAAAGTTGTTCTAAAATGCTGTTTACAACAAACTAATTGTTGTTAATAATGTTTTCACTGAGCCCTTGGCAATGTGTAATTAATCCTCAGTAAAACTGTCAATAATTTATATTTGCCACTTTGCAATTACTACAATAAACTAGGGCTGTGTATTGGCAAGAATTTGGCGATACGGTCACGATATGATATATCCTGATATATTGCGATACTGTAAGCAAGGCAATATATTGCGATATATTGCAATTTTTTGTCCAAAAATTCTATTACATAAAAACCTCTTACTGAAAAAAAAGAAAAGCTAATGTTTACTTACAATGCTAATGCTACCCTTACTCTCTGGCGCTCAAGAGGTAGAGGAGCCAAATGGCTGGCTCACTGCTGCCAACTAGTGGTCAGAGGCTGAACTACAACATAAAAATGAACKGTTGGCAAGAAGATTGACATTTTAAACCTTAATTAAAAATCGATACAGGGCTTTAGAATGTTGATACAGTATCGGGAAATGAAAYATTGCGATATTTCAGTGTATCGATATTTTCTTACACCCCTACAATAAACACCATGTGATGATATATYTTTTTGTGTACAACACATTATCACTATAAAGCACGCACGTGAGCCCAATGGTGGAAGGAGGCGTGGAGAAGCTAAACCTTACAAACCTGTTTAATCACCAAAACCACTAACAGGAGAACAAGGACAGCCTGAGAATGCAGACCGAGACAAGGTCAGCCACACGCAAGTGCAAATAATCATGATAACTTTTTATGTCAATATTGCTCAACCCTCAGAAATATAGTTTTATAAATATTTTCATATGTCGTTAGAAATGATCAAACATACAATTTCAAAAGTTTTCTAGAGAGAGTGACTTTTCTGTTAATTTTATGTCAGATGTTAGAAGAGTCTTTATTTGAATCAATATTAAAACATCTGAACAGAACTTAAGATGCTAACCCTCAACACATTTCACATCAGAGACGATTATGTTTTTTGTATTTTTTTCACATCACTTAAAATCCCAATAAATTAGCATTCAGAGCTGCCGTAGTTCTCCATTTTTTTAAATAACAGTGTGAATGTTTTGCATATTTAAAATTATCCAAGATGTCTACATGATACTGAGTATATATAAATGATAAGACTTGTCTGCAGAATATGAACTCCCACATCCCACAGCTTTCCTCAGCCTGTGTGGAAGATAAAAGCAGCCCCGTCTCTATGAAATGCGTTGGCAGCTCTGTTTCTGCCAGCGAGTCGGCTTTCACTAACTTTCAGGTGGCATGGGAAAATATAGTCATAAATAAATTACGGAGTTATGAATAATTTAGGTGTGCATTGTGATTGACATGAGGGGTGAGAGGGGCTGATTATGCCTGAGCAGCGTGAGACTTGAATTACAGCGAATCAAAACATCAGTCTGAATGCCGAGCGTCTGCCTTCCTGACTCGTATGCTGTTGTGGATTTTGATCACTAGCTTGTAACAACAAAGACAGCTGAGATATTAAGAGGGAATGCAGCTTTAAAGATGATGCTTCAGTTTAGTCATTAAAACACTGTTGTTGTTTGGTGTGAAGGGTTTAAAGAAAAACCCACAACGTAGGAGTCGAGAAGTTCAGAAGCTCTGCAACAAGTTCTCAGCAGAATTTACTAGAATGCAGACATATAAAAAAATAAAAATAAAAACCGGTGGCTATTAGCGGTTTAGAGATGAGGCCTTGAAAACAATGCCTCTTTAAAGGTGGCACCAGAGTGTCTTTTTCTCTACACCCATGTTTAATCAGGAGCCGTGCTTCCTTTTATTGTTCCGAGAGGAGGAAGAGCAGATCAATGACTCGGAGCGCTGTAGCTGCAGAGGAGAGGCTGCAGCAGGCTTCACCAGGCTGCAGCTCATATGTGTGCTGAGTGCTGAACAGTGGAGGAGGGGGGGGCTGCACCCCCACCTCCAACCCAGCCCCCCTCTTCTTTCTCTATCACCGCCACCCCCTACCATCTCCTCACCACATCCACCCCTCCTTTTTTTTTCATGTGTGCAGAGCAGATCTGTCTGCAGCCTCAGGCAAGTGCAAGTTAACAAATGTACAGAGCACATGTGAAACCTCATTTGCATAAATCTGCGAATGTCGCAATGTTTCCTTCAATGGATTCCTTTGTGTTTAATTGAAGAGTGCTTTCTCTCCATTCCCCCCCAACATGCATATACTCGTGTAAGTACAAGACTGCATCTGACAGTTGTTGATTTGGATAATTAGTCTGACCAGAACTGTTTTCTTCCTGCCTTGGCCTAATGTAACAGAGCAGCTACACATTTATTTGCACATACATTAGTTTGCTTCTACCTTTTTTTTTAATTTCAATCTCTGAACTCCTTTAATTTTAATCATCGATTGCATTTATACAGTCTTTGGTTGATGGTAGAGACTCTGTGTCCTCCAGGGCT